CCAGGGAATCAATGGAAATATTTACTGGGCAGTTCAGGTATTGTTCTAACAGCTACAGAGATTACAGGTTCCGGGGGTAGCAGAGGAATTTTAACAATACCTGGCCTATTATTATTATTTTTAGCCCAAGCCTTTCAATTTAGAAACTTTACAATGCCCAATCTTTTACACTTTAACTCAGACTCTTGCAGCTTAGAATCAGCTTAGAAATTTTACCTTTACATTAGTACGCATGTATGCTGTTCAACACATTTCYAGAAGGAAAATTGCTCAATCAAAAGTTATGCACATTTGAAACTCTAATAAATCAAGATATTATTGAATTTAATATAAGATACTCTTCAGRTGCTATGGAATTTAAGCTAAATTACCATCTGGAGAAGTTGCCCCTGTTTAGACCCTTGCCATCTCTGTGAAAATGTATTTCCTTATAACATCATGAATTCATTAAAGTTTTAAAACTTAAATATTTTATATTTTTCATTACAAATAACAGCAATTCACTGAGGTATCTCCAGAGCTTAAGGCAGGACCTGCGCAAACTGTATGTAGGCAGAAGATGGTTTATGAATGAATAAAGTGTTCAATTAAACATTTTAAACATTGTGATAGACTGGATAGCTTTCCAAAGTTCAAAAGACATTTAAATCAATCTCTCTCTCTCTCTTTAATGAAATGACTGAATGTTCTTTATTCAATTTTCTATTTGGGTTTTTATTTGGATTTTTTCCCATATTGGGTTATACCAGGCATTCACAMATTTTCTGTTAAATTAGTTACTGTATTTATTATTTACTCCCCGTTTATGTTTTAGATGTTTTAAATTTTGTTTACTTTATAAAAACAGGTATTTAAAACATTTCTGTTTTTAAATTTTCCAATATTTTTCTTCATTGCTATTAACTTTTTTTTCTGTAGTAGAAAAGCCATTCTATTTTAAACATCTTAATTTTTCCCCAATTTTTCTTCTAGTACTTTCATATTTATTTTGTTTTCTTAAAAGAACCTTTAGAAAATGAGAAATTGTTCCACTAGAGGATTGGTATGAGACACAGACTTCAGGATGACACACAGAATGCTGGATTTCATGGAATCTGTCATGTGACAACCAATCTGATGAGTAAGATCAAGAGTCTTTGAAAGTAGATGGTACACATAAGGAAATAGGCAAGAGACAAGAGGTGACTCGGGAAGATACTGGATAAACCATACATACTCAGAGAAAGGAAAACATGCACTCTATCTAACTTTTATGTAGATTCTCCCACAATTAGCTAATCTTGTAATTACTTCTCTATGAACATAAACAATAACAAGGAAATAATCTTTAACATGGTGTCAGCAGGTGGGTATAAAAGTGGACATGGAATTAGGAGACTACCACATTTGGGAAACTCATTCTCTTAGAAACCCACCCAGAACCTCTACCCTCTGACACCATGGTCAACTCCTGTTCTGGCTCCGTCTGCTCTGATCAGGGCTGTGGAGAGGGCCTCTGCCAGGAGACCTGCTGCCAGCCCAGCTGCTGCCAGACCACCTGTTGCAGAACCACCTGCTGCCGCCCCAGCAGCTGTGGGTCCAGCTGCTGCAGGCCCCAGTGTTGCCAGACCACCTGTTGCCGCCCCAGCAGCTGTGGATCCAGCTGCTGCAGGCCCCAGTGTTGCCAGACCACCTGCTGTAGGACCACCTGCTGCCGCCCCAGCTGCTGTGTGTCCAGCTGCTGCCGCCCCAGCAGCTGTGGGTCCAGCTGCTGCAGGCCCCAGTGTTGCCAGACAACCTGCTGTAGGACCACCTGTTGCCGCCCCAGCTGCTGTGTGTCCAGCTGCTGCCGCCCCCACTGCTGCAGACCCCAGTGTTGCCAGACCACCTGCTGTAGGACCACCTGCTGCCACCCCAGCTGCTGTGGATCCTCTTGTTGAACCCTGTATCTGACTACCAGCCATGAGTTAGCCATCATCACAGAGCCTGGCCACCAGTTTTACCATCCCCCTGTCCAGTAAGAAACTGGCATAAGGACATCCTTCTACATTAAAAACCACTAATATCTCCCATAGATCCCTTCACTATATCCCAGCCTCAGATATATGATGCAATTAGATGAAGCCCCAGTTATTCTTGGCATTCATAATCATGTGTTAACTATTCTTCAATAAAAATAACTTCAATATCATAAATTCTTGTGCCTTCCTTCCATGATTTTCAGTTTATTTTCTGGTATTATTTCTCTCAAGGAGAAGAAAAGTTTGGGTTTCTGTGGCCAGAAGAAACATTCACAGTAGTCAGGAAACAGAATCAACCTAATTGTCCATCAACTGATGACTGAACAAACAAAATGTGGCATATATAAGATTTGGAATACTATGTTTTCCATATAAAGGATGAAATCCAGTCATTTGTGACAACATGGATGCAACTGGAAGACATTATGTTGTGAAATCAGCTAAGCACAGATAGAAAAATACCATACCCTATCACTCAAATGTGCAATCTAAAAAATATTGATCTAATAGGAATTGGGAATAGAAAAGTGGTTACCAGGGACTGGAGAAAACAAGGAGGTGAGAAATAGGGAAAAGGTTGGTCATCAAGTGCAAGGTTAGTTAGATAAGAGAAAGATGTGCTGATGTTCAATTGCATCGTAAGGTTGTAAGGGACCGGCAAAACGTTGGAGGAAGAGACCACAAGAGACTAGCTCCATGCAATTGGCAAAAGGGGATTTATTGAACCAGCATGCTAGGGCTCCAAGCCCACTCAAGAAAGGAGAGCAGCCCAGAGCCCAGAGCAGAGGTCAAGCAGAGCTTAAGTACACTTTTTGGAGAAGGTGGGGGGCTTTGCATACATCAGAACAAATCATCTTGAGGCGCGGGAAAATTGAACAACAACTCTGAGCAATGATTAGTACATTCATTGGCGGGAACAGTCTGGGCAGGGGTGATTGGTCACTCCTAAGYGGGGTACACATTTAAACTGATTGGTTTTGTGGCCTGGATGCTTACATGMGGAGCTACTTAGAGCCCTTAGCTAATAAACAACCAGGGAATCAATGGAAATATTTACTGGGCAGTTCAGGTATTGTCCTAACAGCTACAGAGATTACAGGTTCCGGGGGTAGCAGAGGAATTTTAACAATACCTGGTCTATTATTTTTTAGCTCAAGCCTTGTAATTTAGAAACCTTACAATGCATTGTCTTTTACACTTTAACTCAGACTTTTGCAGCTTAGAATCAGCTTAGAAATTTTACCTTTACAAGGTCAGCAAGAATGTACTGTATATTTAAAATAACAAAGCTAGAAGAAAGGATATTGAGTGTATTTATTGCAAAGAAATGATAAATATTTGAGGAGATAGATATGCTCACCCTGATTTGAACATTACAGAAATATACACAAATATCAAGAAATGTCACATGTTACCCCATGAATACATACAACTTTTACATGTCAATTCAAAAATAAAAGAGCGCTGATTTTGCAAATAAAATATAATGCCTATATTTATAGAAAGGACTTTACCAGTTTTTCAAAATAAGATAATCTACCTCATTTAACCAACAATAATTCAATTACAAGAAGATAACAATTTGATAACAATGATATGAGTGATCCCCACTGTTGGGCTCTGAGGATCATATCAAGATATGTGTGGCACAGGAACTTCCTACAAAGAGCTCACAACCTAAAGTTGGAAATAAGAGGAAGGACCCAAGGAGGCCCAATACTACTATCTTGGGTAGTATTGATCAGAAGAGGAACTTTCAGTCTCGGAGAATAGTAATGTGGGTGTGGAAGGTACATACATACACACACACAAACACACACACACACATAAAATCAGTAAATTCAGTGAAAATATGCAGATCACAAATTCATGAGATAAAGAGAAGGCAGAGGAGGAGACAGGGAAATGTTTACATTCTTACAATGTCAAGAAGCAGATTGGCTGTGAAATCAGTTGCTGTTGACCAGACATGGCAGGGACTAAACTCTGCTAGCCTCACCCCAGTTCCCTTCATATTAATAATACTGCACTTAAAAAATATATATCATAAGCAAATGAGGAAGCTCCTAGTCAGAGGTGGAGTTACAAGTAAATACTCACTTTGGGGAAAGCCTGGAGGAGTAGGGAAGGGTGAGAATGGCAGGAAAAGATGAGGTTGCAAGTGGGGAGGACTTGGACTAGGCTTGAGMCCTGTACCCCAAGCCTCACTCTTGGGACAGTCTTACATCCTGCAGACCTGCTGCATCTCAGGCCAATTTGGTCATATTCAGATAAGCAAATCAAATGTCTTCTGTGACCACATTGCTTCACTTGTCCTGTTCATGCCACTTCAACAAGGAAAAGAAAAGGTACTTCAGCAAAATAATCAACAGATCAAGGAAATCATCCCAAGGGAAAGACCAAGAAAATATTATAAACATTATAATCTGGGGAAATCATAGCCTTTTAGGTAATGATAATAATTATGAAGGAACGTGAATTGTGGATGAGATGTGGACTGCCCTTATGTGATTGAATAGCTTTTCTGAAAAATTAAAGCATCATGCCTGGTTAAAAAAAAAAAAAAAGACATGGATCAGAATGCATTAAGTCAGTGATGCCAGGCATTTCAAGTTGAAGTTCAGATGCAATGGAAAACCACTGAGAATGAGTGCAGGGCCACACCCCAGAAGGGCAGTAGGAAGTCTAGAAGTACCAGTAGCTATACTGCACTYGTACTGTGGTGTTTAGATGGGCCTCTCACCATGAAAAATGAATTTCAGATTCATGATCTCACCCAGTGAAGCTTGGCATCAAGGCAGTTTTCTGACTGTACCATTCCTGTTCTTTTTTTTWAAATTATTATTTATTTTAATTAGTTGTACATGACAGTAAAATGCATTTATGCACCTTGATATATCATACATAAATGTGATATGTTTTCTCATTTTTCTGAGTGCACATGTTGCAGAATCATATTGGTCGTGCAGTCACATATATACATACAGTAATAATGTCTGTTTCCTTTTACTAGCTTTCCTACCTCCACATCCCCTCCTCTCCCCTCCCATTACTTCCCTCTAATATAAGGTGATGCTATTCTTCCCTAGTGCCTTCTGTCTTATTGTGAATTAGCATCCACATTTTAAAGAAAACATTTGGCTTTTGGTTTTGTGGGATTGGCTTATTTCACTTAGCATGATATTCTCCAACTCCAACCATTTACTGGCAAATGCCATAATTTCACTCTTCTTTAAAGCTGAATAATAGTCCATTGAGTACATATACCACATTTTCTTTATCCTTTCATCTATTAAGTGACACCAAGGTTGGTTCCATAGTCTAGCTATTGTGAATTGAGATGCTATAAACATTGATGTGGCTGCGTCACTATTGTATGCTGGTTTTAAGTCCTTTGGGTATAAACCAAAAGAGTGGGATAGCTGGGTCCATTCCCTGTTTTTTGAGGAATCTCCATACTGCTTTCCATAGTGGTTGCACCAATTTGCAGTCCCACCAGCAGTGTATGAGTGTACCATTTTCCCCATATCCTGACCAAAATTTATTGTTACCTGTATCCTTGATGATTGTCTTTCTGACAGGAGTGAGATGAAATCTTAGAGTAGTTTTGATTTGCCTTTCTCTAATTGGTAGAGATGTTGAACACTTTTTCACATATTTGTTGATCAATTGTATTTCTTCATTCGGGAGAAAGATGGAATCAAGGTAGTCATCAAATCTTCCTCAGGAACTGTGGTCAATGGTGAGGCGTGTCGGAGACTCGGAGGGCACAATCTGTTCCACTTTCTGGTCYGGAGGCTGGACATAGGGTTGAATCAGTCTGTCAGGAATCTAAATGGGGGAATCTGCGTCCTGTGGGAAGACACAAGCATATCCTCGCCCACAAGTTAGTAATACATCAGGTCCTTTCCATTTACCTGTCAAAAGATCTTTCCATTTTACCAAGGGTTTTGCTGATATTTTTTCATTTTCCCAATGTCTTAACATGGGAGTTACTCCTTTATAATCACAATTAAGATGATTAATCACAAACAAAGC